CTGTTCATTGAGGTTAAACCAGATGTCACTTTTCTATTTGAGATATGATATGTGAAGATTAAAAGCCAAATAAAAATGTCTTGCATAAAAAGTCCATCTTCAAATGTGGGGCTTGTCAGGAAAGAGGAAGCAATCGGTAACCAGAGCTTGTTATAAAGGTAACCATTAAATGCAACTTCACTTCTGATTATAGGAGTGGTAGAATATGAGCTGCTGAAACAATGACAATAACCATGATTGCAAGATGAATTGCTCCCCGCTATTGAATCATAATAGCAGATGATTAGTTAGAAAGAATAGAAGGATCTTTCATCATCACCTGATGTAAAGGAAAACATGGTTGTTTGAGCTACAGAAGCTCCATGGAGCTCTACTTAGTTGCTCAAATCTCTAACAATATCTATACAAAAGGGAAACCAGATTGCTGTTAACAGTTAGCTGAGCTGTTTCTATCCCATCTTACGGACACATGCCCACAAACATTATGACAAACAAACATGGAGAGTAGGTGGGCACAAAGCAGCCAGAGAGAGGAGATATGCTTTTAAACAGGTAAAATGGAAAAAGGATGCACTTTGAAAGGTCTTCAATATTTACTAACTTGGCTTATGGTTCCAATAAGCGCTTTAATGATTTGAAGTCAGACTGAGAAAAATGTTTGATGAAGAAACAAACTGTTATATTTTGCTTTTTATTCTCATTAATTTATTTATCAAAGCACGAGGTGGGATATACGTGCAAAAGGAAAGAGGAAAGAGAATATCATTTTTCTCAGCAAACTTGATTTGATTATTTGCAAAATAAAATAAAAATTAGCTGATAGGACTCCATTTTATCTAACCTTGATTAAAGCTGCAGCATCCTCTTCTGCAGTCCCTCCGATTTCTCCAATAAGAATAATACCTGAAAGGCATTCCAAGACAAATATCACACACTCGAAAATGCATCAATATTTATCATATAAAGAATTACCAGTGAGAAAAAATTGAAATAGTATGATCATAGTAATCTTATATAATATGACCACACAGTACAATAAAAAAACATTAGCTACAGGAAGGTTCTACTTGTTAAAAAGAGCAACTATAAATAAAACACACTCTTTTTACAGCTCAAACCAAAAAGACAAAAGCTATATCAGGCATATGTTTCGATACAAACAACATTCTGTAAATAGCCGCAGGCCTGTACGAAACTGTGAGAACACAAGTTTACCCATGGCACATTATCTCCATCAGTAATATCTCTGCTGCTCTTTCAACAGCAGAGACTACAGAAGCTACATACGCCCCTCAAACTTCTCAAAAAAAATAAAATAACACCATTTATAAGGGGGTGGCTTGGTGTCAGGTAAAAAATGCTAGAGTCCCCTGTTGAAAAGAATCATATTTAGGAACAAGTCTCGATGTCAAGAAAATAACATTAGTTTTCTGAACTAATTTTATTTTATCTCCTCACTAGGTGAAAACCTACAGTTCGTTTAGCTCCATCCCAACAAAATAAAATAATATCATCTGTTCCACGGTACTTATTCCTGAATGGAACTGCTTGAAGTTCAGTTTGTTGAAACCTTCAATTCAATCGCCTACGATAAATCAACACGCCCTCTATCGTATGGTCCTCCTCTTAGCAGATAAGCAAATCAACCCATTTCTGGGCCCTGTCATTCACATACTGATGAAAAATAAAATCTATAATAAACAAAAGATAACTTACAGTCAAATTAATGCATACTAAATGGGAAACGTACTCAGTCCTCACAACCTTAACATTACACAATACTACAAATCATAGGCATTTTTAATGCTTCTAAACAATTTTACCTTCAGTCTGTGGATCATCAAGGAACTTTGTTATGCAGTCAACGAAATTTGTTCCGTTGAATGGATCACCCCCAATACCTACACAAGTGGACTGTCCTAGACCAACTGCAGTTGTTTGAAAAACCTGCATCAAGCTAACAATTGTTTGACTGCTTAAAAAAGGCTCTCATTTAATGAAAAAAACACATTACCACAAATTAGTTCCATACCGCTTCGTAGGTTAAAGTACCAGATCTAGATACAATCCCAATGCGGCCTGGCTTGTGGATGTATCCAGGCATTATTCCAATTTTGCATTCTCCAGGCTTGATGATACCAGGACAATTTGGTCCTATCAACCGAGTCTTAGACTGCTTGTTAAGAGCAGCCTTTACTCGAACCTAGCAACAATAACATCATTTAATGGCTAGTCATAAAAAGGAAACTCTAATCGTTCATCTGCAAATGACATGCTGTTAAGTTGTAGAAACACAAATTGGCTAAAATTAACATGAACTGATAAACGCAATGTTGTATTTGTACTATATGTGAAGGAAGAATGCTAAATAGCGCATAAGTCACGTGAGGTAAACATACAAATTTCAAACTTGTTTCAGCCTAATTCCAGAAAAATAAATTTGAAATTTTAACAATCGACAAATGTCCTTAAAGGCTTAATAGAGTTCTGATGGCCATAGAATTGCGCAAATTGGGAAGTACATTCTGGGCAAAAAATCAGTCCTTCACTTAACTATCTACATAACGATGAATCATGTAACTGTAATGAATATATTATTGTGTTTATGGATTACTGACAACGCATAGGATAATCTGCCCATCAGGAAAACTGTATATTTAATACCATATCATGCTGGGGGATTCCTTCAGTAATACAGACAACAAGGTCAAGCTCAGCTTCCATTGCTTCCATAATTGCAGCTGCAGCAAAAGGTGGGGGCACATAAATAACTGATGCATTGGCTTTGGTTTCTTTCTTTGCTTCTGCAACAGTGTTGAACACCGGAAGTCCCAGGTGCTCAGTTCCACCTTTTTTAGGTGTTACTCCACCCACCTATAGAAATCAAACAAAAAGAAAACCAATATTAGTTAGGCCATCTCTCTAAGCGACATATTCGACAATGAGCAATCATAATTTACTAGCAGAACTATACTGCTAAGATAGTGCTACTCCGCTATGGGATAGATAGTGCATAGATCAAAGATTAAGTTTTCGTTTAGTCCACCTCCATTTTTAATACAAGGAGACTATTGTAGAGGCAATGATCAGAAAAAACTAGTACGTAATAGTAAATTGTGTATTGCACTTAATCTCCAAAAAAGCGAGTACTACTAGCTGTAACTACCGATTTTTTCGAGTGAAGAGTAAACATCTATTTGATAAAAAGGAAATCAAGAAAACCCTCTTCTGTTAGAGAGCAGAACTGGCATTTGGTAAACATTAAAAAGGAAATGTAACATTATAAGAAGCAATTAGGGACATCATAGCTTGACCAATTTTTACAACTCCATGTATTTCAATTCACTCCAAAACTTATCACTCCCGCTTCTGCTACACTTTTAAATTCATGATCAAATTTCTAGGCCAC